AGGGTCACTGTGTTCCTTTCTGTAGCACACAGGGTCACTGTGAGTCAGTACCAACTCGGTGGCACCTAACAACAACAACATAAATCAGAATTGACTCAACTTTAACACCAGGCATTTCTGTTGGGTACATAGCTAGTGGTAGAAACGTCAGGCCACAGAAAGGTGTCTGTTCAGTTTTAGTAGAATGTACCACAGTTTTCCAACATGGGTGAGCTTCTACTTTTGACCACCAATGAATAAGAGTTGCTCCATAGTCTCACCAGTCTGTGCCCATTTGGCAGAGAAGGCAACTGAGGCTCAGAGAGGCAGCCTCTTGGTCAGTAAGGGATTCTGTGGCCTGCTGCCACCTCTTCTCCCCTCAGCATCCTGCCCCCACTGTGCCCTCCCAGCCTGGTTGTGGGGTGGGGTGGGACAGACAGAGTCACGTGGAGTTGGGTTCAGCAGGAGGAAGCCAAGCAGGGTGCAGACGGCTGCTGAGTCTGGGGCTGGTCAGGAAATCAAGGTAAGAGAATGCTTGTGGGGAGAGAGTATATTTGCCCTCTTGGGGGTCCCTAGAGGCAGAGCTGAGAGTGGGGAGGGAGCTGAGATGAGGGTGGCATGTGGGCAAACAATGGGCAGAACTGTCAGTCTCTCATTCCCCAGGAGACTGTTCACCATGGAACCACCATCGCCCCACCAGGCCTCCCAAACCCAGCTCGCAGCCCCTACCTCCCTGAGCTCCTACCGCTGGCATACTGGGAGTGGTGGTGAGAAGGGGACGGGAGGGTTCCGTTGGAGCCGCTTTGCAGGCTGGGGAAGGGCACTGAGCCACCCAGAGCCTGCAGCCAGCAGCCAGCCAGCACCCCGCTCGCTATTTCGTCGTGTCCTCTCTGTACCTCCAAAGGATACTCGGATCAACAGATTCCGGCTATCCAAGACCCGCTGGGGGAGGCCAAAGAACCCATCCCCGGAGCCAGAACCAGAGCCAGAGGCCTCAGGTACATGGATCCCCCATCCTGAGGCTGGGCCAGGCTGGGAGGCCGGATGCTTGGGTTTGTGTACCTCCAGAGCATCAGACACAGGAAGTTGTGGGGAGCGAAAAAGCTCAGCAGGAAGTAGCTGGGGCCCGGCTGCCCTCTTCCCTCTTTTTACCTAACCCAGAGCCTGGGGAGGTTGGGGGGAATGGCCTGGGAGCTGGGGGCTAAGGGCTCCATCTCAGGAAGAGACAAGAAATAGATCCAAAATAGCACTGTCCAGATACCAAATGATTCTCAGCCCTTACAGGTCCCTCACATTCATGGACCAGGCTCATCCTCTCCTGCCCAACTATACATCTCAACTGCCTTCTACTGTCCTGCCCTCCAGCCTGGTCATTTTCTGTTCCTTCGAACACTTTGCACCATCAGTTGATTATTTCTGCAAGGGACCACAGTTGTTGTCTCATAATATAACCTCTGGGACCTACCCAATGGCTTGGTTAAGAGACTGAATGTTTGTGTATGAAGCTTGGCTCAACCATTCACAAGCTGTGTGACCTAGACAAGTCACTCCAAATCTTGGGGCCTCAGTTCCTTCTTGGTAAAAGGGCTGTCGAATTAATAAGAGAATGTGTGCAGAACAGTTGACACAGTACTGGGTATTTGTTGTTGTTGTTGTTAAGTGTCATCAAGTCGGTTCCGACCCATAACAACACTGTATAGGGTTTCCAAGTAAGTGGGTAATATCTAAATGCTAAATGCCACAATGGGTGTCTTCTCATATCTGATGACCAAGACTCATCACTTACTGCCTGGATATTCAACGCCTCTGCCTCCTGCCCTCCTGCCTTCATGTCTCCATGTCTTAGTTTCTTCACCTCCTTGAGCCTCAGTTTCCCCATCAGTCAAATGGGAATAATGACCTATGGTTAGTGAAGACATGCCCAAAGTCACAGAACCTGACATGGCTGCTGGGAACCCAGGAAGGAATTCCTAATGAGCTTTGATAAATAGAGAGGGAGGCCTGAGGGAGAAGAAAGGACTCCCTGTCCCCAATACTTTCTCCTCTGCCCATAACCAGAGCCAGAGCTGAAGCCAGAGCCAGAGCCTTCTGCCCCACAAATCCCAGAGGCCCCCACACCAGATGTGCCTGTCTGGGATATTGGGGCTTTCACCCTACTTGATGGAAAACTGGTGCTGTTTGGGAGTGAGGAGGAGGTGAGAGGGAGCACACGAGTTGGGGGAAGGGTAAGTGGGGATTCAAGAGAGACTAGAAAGCAATCTGCCTTCTCTTCTGGGGGAATAGGGTCGTCGAACCCGGGCAGGGAGTGGAAGCTCTGAGACCAGCACCCAGGCAGCCATGGGGAACCTCAGGGATCCAGGTAAACTTAAGGAATGGAGAGGGCTGGGGTGCTTGGGAGTCTCTTAAGGTGGGGCAGAATCAAAATGATCCCCAAACCCCAACCTCCCACACCTACAGATCGGACTCCTGGAAGAAATGAACCAGAGGCTGCTGGCCCCAACCAGGTCCACAATGTTCGGGTGAGGAAGCCAGCAGAGGTGGGAAGGATGGGGGAGAGGGAAGATCAAAGATTCCAAGATCCTTAGAACTGAAAGGGGATTCTTACCGGGTGGCCTAGGCAACTCATGTCCTTCAGTGTTCCCATCTGTCCAATGAAGCTAATGAAAGAACCTCCCTCTCAAGGCTGTTCTAGGAACTCAATGAGGAACACAGAAAAAGTTAAGTAGGTGCTTCAGAAACCAGAGCCTTTGTTGCCCTCATTATTTATTATTCCCAATAATTCAGCCTGAGCTTGTGGTCCTCCAAGACCCGCAGATACTCTGGGAGAAGTTGGGGGCTAAGAAGGAACTGAGGAGGAAACAGAGTTCTGTTCAGTTGACATTCTCCTCCTCGTAGGGATTACTCAAGAGGCTGAAAGAAAAGAAAAAGGCCAAGCTGGAGCTGGGAGCCAATATTCCCCGGGATGGGTAAGAGTCACTGAGAAGCCAGAGGGCCTAGGGCCCAGCACTGCCCCTTCCTCTCCTCTATCTTTCATTTAATCCTTCATCAAATATCCTGTGCAACCCTTTCGGTACCCTACACCATGTTGGGTGACACTAAGGTCACTGAGAGACCTTCCATGGACCCAGCCTTCAGCCCATTAGGATAAAACAGGAGCCAAATCAACACCCTAGTCTGGGAATGCCAAGGGAAGCCTCCCCAATCATTGACTCCTGAGCTGAGATCTGAAGGTTGGGTGGAAATTAACCAGGACAAGTTGTTGTTGTTAGGTGCTGTTGAGTCCAGTCCAACTCCTAGTGACCGTATGTACAACAGAATGAAACACTACCCCGTCCTAGGCCATCCTCGCAATACTTGTTAAAGTATAGCCCATTGTTGCGGCCACTGTGCCAATTCATCTCACTGGGCGTCTTCCTCTTTTTTGCTGGTCTTCCACTTTACCAAGGACTGGTCCCTCCTGATATGAGAGATGAAGTCTGAGAGACAAAGTATCACCACATTGGCTTCTAAGGAACATTCTGATTGTACTTCTACCAACACAGATTTGTTTGTTCTTCTGGCAGTCCATGGTACTTTTAATATTCCCCACCAACACTAGAACTCAAATGCATCAATTCTTCTACAGTCTTCCATATTCATGGTCCAACTTTCACATGCATACAAGGCTATTGAAAATATCATGGCTTGGGTCAGGCACACCTTAGTCCTCAAACTTTGCTCTTGAACACCTTAAAGAGGTCTTGTGCAGCACATTTGACTAAATGAAATACCTCATTTGATTTCTTGACTGCTGTTTCTGTGAGTGTTAGCAGTGGATCCAAGCAAAATGAAGTTTTTAATAATGTCAATCTTTTCTCCATTTATCATAGTATTATTTATTGGTCCAGTGGTACAACCACAATACATTCAGGCTGTGATCTTAGATCTTCATCAGTATCTTAAGTCTCTTCACTTTTCAGCAAGCAAGGCTTTGTAATCTGCATATCACAGGTTGTTAGAGAGTCTGCCTCCAATCCTGATGCCCTGTTACTCTTTGTATGATCCCTCTTCTTCGAATAGTTGCTCAGTTTACAGATAGAATAAGTATGGTGAAAGAATATAACCCTGGCATACACCTTTCCTGATCTTAAATCATTCTGTGTCCCTTTGTTATGTTTGATTGACTGCCTTTTGGTCTATGTACAGGCTCCTCAAGAGCACATAAGTGTTCTGGAATATCCATTCTTCACAGTGTTATCCATAGTTTGTCATGATCCAAACAGTCGAATGTCTTTGCATAGTCAATAAAGCACAAGTAAAATCTTTCTGGTACTCTCTGCTTTCAGCCCAGATCCATCTGATGTCAGCAAATGATATCCCTTGCTCCATGTCCTCATCTGAATCCAGCTTGAACCTCTAGCAGTTCACTATCAAAATACTGTTACAGTCATTTTCAAATTATCTTCAGCAAAATTTTACTTGCATGTGATATTAATGATGTTGTCTGATAATTTCCACATTCCGTTAGGTCACCTCTCTTTGGAATGGGCAGACATGTGGATCTCTTCCAATTAGCTGGCCAGGTAGCTGTTTTCCAAATTTCTTGGCATAGATGAGTAAGTGCCTCCAGGGCTGCATTAGTTTGTGGAAAGATTTCAATTTGTATTCCATCATTCCTGGAGCCTTGTTCTTTGCCAATGCCTTCAATGCACCTTGGGCTTCTTGATTATATGCTACTTCTTGAAATGGTTGAACATTAACCATTTCCTTTTGGTACAGTGACTCTATGTATTTCTTCCATCTTCTCTTGATGCTTTCTGCATCATTCAATTATTTGCCCAGAGAATCTTTCAACAACGAAAGTTGAGACTTGAATTTTCTTCAGTTCCCCCAGCTTGAGAAATGCTGAGTAACGTGTTCTCTTTTGGTTTTCTAACTCCAGGTCTTTGCACACTTCATTTTAATACTTGACTTTGTCTTCGTGAGCTACCCTTTGACATTTTCTGTTCAGCTCTTTTACTTTAGCATCTGTACACTGGAGAGCAAGTTTCAGATTCTTGTCTGACATCCATTTTGGTCTTTTCCTTCTTTCTTTTCTTTTTAAAGACCTTTTGCTTTCTTCCTGTATGATGTTCTTGATGTCATCCCACAATTCTTCTGGTGTTCAGTCATTAGTGTCTAATGCATCCAATCTGTTCTTCAGATGATCTCTAAATTCAGGTGGGATATGTTCAAGGTAAAATTTTGACTCATATGGACTTGTTTCAATTCTTCAGCTTCAGCTTGAACTTGCATATGAGCAATTGCTCCTGACTTCATTTTGGCTGATGATAAGGAGCTTTTCCACTGTCTCTTTCCATAGATGTAGTCAATTTAATTTCTGTATATTCCATTTGGTGAGGTCCATGGGTATAGTTGTTTTTTATGTTGTTTAAAAAAAGGTATTTGAGATGAAAAGTCATTGGTCTTGCAGAACTCTATAATGTGATCTTCAGCATCATTTCTAACACTAAGCCACACTTTCCAACTACCGATCCTTCCTCTTTGCTTCCAACCTTTGTATTTCAATCACCAGTAATTATCAATATATTTTGGTTGCATGTTTGATCAATTTCAGACTGAGGAAGTTGGTAGAACTCTTCTATTTCATCATCACAAGCTAAGTGGTTTGTATGTGAATTTGAATAATAGTAACAGGTCTTTCCTGAAGGCATATGGATATTATCCTATCACAGACAACATTATACTTTCAAGATAGATCATGAAATATTCTTTTTGATAATGAATGTGACATCATTCCTCTTCAGTTTGTCATTCCCGGCATAGTAAACCATATGATTGTCTGATTCAAAATAGCCACTGTTTGGTGTGGTGCTGCGGGTTAGTGCACAGTACAGCAAGGTTGGGTTGAACCGCAAGGTCAGCAGTTCAAGCTCACCAACCACTCCTCAGAAACCCTATACAGGGTTGCTATGAGTTAGAACCAACTCAATGGCACTTAACAACAACACCTCCATTTCAGCTCACTAATGCCTAGGATAGCGATCTTTATATGCTTCATTTCATTTTCCTAGATGCATAATCTGTACATTCCATGTTCAGATCATTAATGGATGTTTACAGTAATTTCTCCTCATTTTGAGTTGTGCCTCATCAGCAAATGAAGGTCCTGAAAGCTTAACTCCATTTGCATCATCATGGTCAACTCTACTTTGAGGAGGCAGCTGTTCCCCAGTCCTATTTTGAGTACCTTCCCACCTGAGGGGTCATCTTCCCGCATGGTATTGGACAATATTCTGGTGCTATTCATCACGTTTCAATATTCAGTATTCTGGTACTGACAGTGGTCCACTGCTATTCATAAGATTTTCTGGGGCTAAGTATTCAGAATTAGTCTGCCTCTGCTTTTTCCTAGTCTGTTTTAGACCGGAAGCACAGCTGAAACCTGTCCACCATAGGTGACCTGCTGGTATTTAAAATACTACTGGTAGATTTCATAGCACATGCAAGCCACCATTTGTTGTTGTTGTTGTTATGTGCCGTGGAGTCGGTTCTGACTCATAGCGACCCTGTACAGGGTTTCCAAGGCTGTAAATCTTTACGGGAGCAGAAAGCCTCATCTTTCTCCCGCAGAACAGCTGGTAGTTTCAAGCTGCTGACCTTGCAGTTCAAAGCCAGATTCGTAACCACTACGTTAGCAGAGTTCCTTTAGTAGGAAAAATTGACAGATGAGTGGTGGAAACAGTGGGAAAGCATTCCAGGTAGAAGGAACAGCATATGCAAAGGTCAAGAAGCCAGAAGAACTTTGCACGAATGGACAAAACAAAGGCAGATGTGGTTGGAGCTTAGAGAGTGGAGGACGATGACATTAAGGGGTAACAAGGACTGGATTGTGGAGGGTCATGCAGAGTTTGGAGGTGGAGCATGGAGAGCTATAGGTGACGGAGGGAGGGAAGGAACAGGATCCAATTTAGGTTGAAGTCAATCCTGACCTTTCTTCAGTCTTGAAGAGTGTGAGTGTGTGTGGGGTGTGTGTGTGTGTGTGTAGAATGACCCATACCTCGCCCTTCTACAGGCCCCCCAGTGCTCTGGGCTCACGGGAATCGCTCGCCACACTCTCCGAGCTGGATCTAGGCGCCGAACAGAACGTGCGAATCTGGCCACTGCACCCTAGCCTTCTTGGGGAACCCCACTGCTTCCAGGTAAGCTTCACTAATCCAAACCAATCCTTTGTCTCCACGTCTGGCTTCAAGCCCAACTCTGAACCACTGCCCAACAGGTCACGTGGGCAGGCGGAAGCCGCTGCTTCTCATGCCGCTCAGCCGCCGAGAGGAACCGCTGGATTGAGGACCTTCGTCGACAGTTCCAGTCCAGCCAGGTCAGCTATCTTCCACCCTCTCCAAACCCCAGCCACGTAAAACTCCGCCTGAGCCACATCAGTCCCGCCCATGCTTTTGCAACCTATCCGAGATACGCCCTCTTCTGACTTTTACCAGCCCCGCCCCTTCCATTCAGTTTTGCCTCTGTTCTCACCCAAAGCCCTGTCTAGCAGGCCACAGCTACTGCCTTACTTCGCAGCAGCTGCTGTAGGCCCGGGCTCTCCAGTCAGTTCCGACTCATGGAGACCGCAGGTGCGTAGAGTAGAACTGCTCCATTGGATTTTCAAGGTTGTGACCTTTTGGAAGCAGATCACGGTAGTAACGGAGCACTTAACCATTTGAGCCTCCCAGGGACTCCAGGTCTCTCAAAGACCCCAGAAATGTTAATGGGTTTAAGCGAAGCCACGTGAGGACCCCCATGACGACATCCTCTTCCCCGCGAGGCCCAACGATCTTCCTGGGGCACGGAGCAAAGGTTCGAAATTTCGTGTTGTCTGTGCCCTCTCCCTTCGCTGACACCCAACCCTATCCCCAGGACAACATGGAACGGGAAGAGACGTGGCTGAGCGTTTGGGTGCACGAAGCAAAGGGTCTGCCGCGAGCAGCGGCAGCGGGCGTGCGCGCTGAGCTGTGGCTGGACGGCTCACTGCTAGCGCGTACAGCGCCGCGGTCCGGCCCGGGTCAGCTGTTCTGGGCTGAGCGCTTCCACTTCGATGCTCTACCGCCCGCACGGCACCTGTCGCTAAGGCTGCGTGGCGTGGGACCAGGAGACGCGGCACTGGGCCGCGTGGCGCTGGCGCTGGCGGAGCTGGGCGCGCCCTGCGGCCCTGCAGCCGGCCTGGAGCGCTGGTTCCCGCTGCAGGGAGCGCCGGCGGGCGCAGCACTACGGGCACGGGCCCGAGCGCGGCGACTGCGAGTGCTGCCGTCCGAACGCTACAAGGAGCTGGCCGAGTTCCTCACCTTCCACTATAAGCGCCTCTGTGGGGCGCTCGAGCCCGCGCTACCCGCGCAGGCCAAAGAAGAACTAGCAGCCGCCATGGTGCGTGTACTGCGGGCCACCGGCCGAGCGCAGGTGCGGAGCTGCGACTGCGCCACCCGAGGGCCCCCGGGAGGGCTGACCACTAGCAGGAGGCTGGACCCCGAGCGGCACCTGCGAGGGGCGGAGCGGATTAAGAGGCGGGGTTAGAACAGCATCTACTTGGGGCGAGGCCTAAACTTCAACTGCCAGAGGCGGGAACTGAGCAGATGTAAGAGTAGCATGCCACCTGCGAAGACCGCGGCCGAACTTCAGCTGCAAGGGCGGGAACTGAGCATCATTTTAAAGGGGCAGATAAACTGCAAGGGGCGTGGCTTGAGCTTCAGTCTGTAGAGGAGATTTAAGGCAATAGCTGTGACCAGGGCAACAACATCACATATGAGGGGCTGATTGGCTAAACTGGGAGGATACTGAGGGGCATCCTGAAGAGGCAGAGCAGCTGTGAGGGGTGGAGCCTGAGTTGAGTGGAAGGTCTAAAAGTCCCAATTTTCTGCTGTCAGGGGTTTCAGCCTTTGTGAACTCCAAACGAGAGTGTAGTAGCTATGAGCAGCGGAGCTTGAGCCCCAGGTGTGAGGGATGAGCTAAGGCCCTGGATTTCCCCGACTCAGTTTACCCCCGCCATCCTCCTGCCCTGCCCAGGCACTGGTGACAGACCTAGGTACCGCAGAACTGGCGCGCTGTGGAGGGCGCGAGGCGCTGTTGTTCCGGGAAAACACGCTGGCCACCAAGGCCATTGACGAGTACATGAAGCTGGTGGCACAAGATTACCTCCAAGAGACCCTGGGTAAGCTGAGGAGTAGATGTCAGAGTCCTGCTTATTGGCCTGGGGGGTCCTGGACAACTTGGACTCTAGTGGTGGGTGAGTCTGGAATCCTGGGGTGGGGATTGAGGACTCCCAGAAATGTTAGGTGTTTCTGGGGTAAGTTGGAGATAGAGTTGGAAGGCTGGTGTGGTGGGTCCTGGTGATCATGTGTACTTGCCCGATCTGGCTGTGCTGGACTGCAGGGCAGGTTGTACGATGTCTCTGTACCTCCACTGAGGACTGCGAGGTGGACCCCAGCAAGTGTCCTGCCCCTGAGCTACCCCAGCACCAGGCCAGGCTGCGAGAAGGCTGTGAGGAGGTCTTCGAGAACATTGTCCATTCCTATGAGTAAGAATCGAGGGCCCCAGCCTCTATACCTACCCTTGTCTTCAACTACCATACTGACCCTGGTCCCCAATTAAAGCTACCAGATGAAATGCAGGACACTTAATTAAATTTGGTGCAATAGTGGGGACATGTTGTTAGTTACTGTCAAGCTAATTCTAATATATGGTGAGTCTATATATTGCAGAATAGAACTTCTCCACAACTAACTGTAATCTTAACAGAGTCTTCCATGGTATCCTGGGTACCCTGGGTGGGTTCAAACAACTGACCTTTAGGTTAGCAGTTGAGTGTAAATCATTTGCACTCCCCAGGGACCTATATTTGGAACGTGTTGTTAGGTGTCATTGACTTGGTTCTGACTTGTAGCAACCTTGTACAGGGTTTCTGAGGCTCTAAGTCTTTTGTGTGTGTGTGTGTGTGTGTGTGTGTGTGTGTGTGTGTGTGTGTGTGGCTGGTTGGTGGGTTTGGACTGCCAACCTTATGGTTAGCAGTACAGATGAACTAACCTTCAGGATGTTGTTAGTGCTGTTAAGTCGGTTCCAACTCATAAGGGCCCTGTATAGGTTTTCCAAGGAGCAATTGGTAGGTTTTAACTGCCAACCTTGCAGTTTGACATTGCAGTCAAATGCTTATGCTACAGCGCCACACGAGAGTTCCTTGTAGGTCTTGCTTGTAGGTGTATCGATATTTCTAAGTCTTTCTGAGAACAGAAAACCTCATCTTTCTCCCACTATATTTGGAACATACTGGTGCTATGGGTTAATGCGCTGGACTGCAAAGTCAGTTTGAACCATGAGGTCAGCAGTTCAAGCTCACCAGTAGCTCCTTGGAAACTCTTTTTAGGGTTGATATGGGTCGGAACCAACTTGATGGCAGTTCACAACAACAATACTAAAAAGAAGTTCTGATGGGGTAGGATAATCACAAATTTGGCAGTTCAAATCCACGAGACAGTCCATAGGAGAAAGATGAGGCTTTCTGCAGCCTCGGAAACCCTGCACAGGGTTGCTATGAGTTAGAACAAACTCAACAGCACTTAACAACAACATTAAAAAAAGTATCTCTTGTTTACCTGAAATTCAAGTTTCACTGGGTGTCCTGAATTTTTATTTGCTAAATTTGGCAACCCTACCTCCTGACCCCAAGTAAACTGGTACCCAACTCTTAGTCCTCTAACCTCAGGTGACCCCAGACCCCAATTCCATCCCACCTAACCCCAGTTAACATAGGACCTCAGTCCTATGACCTCTTAACTGCAGGTGATGCCATATCCCCAAGTCCATGACCCTAAACTCTAAATCCCATGCCTACTAGTAACACGTATTCTAGGATTTCAATCCCATGATTTCTGACCCTAGGTGAACCTGTACTCCTAATCCCAAGGTAACTTGAGACAGAATGACTTCCTGTGAATTCTCATAGGTGATCCTACGTCCCAATCCCATTTCTACTTCACATCATGTACTCTGGCACCCCAAATTTACGTTCAATTATATATAATAGTTAGCTCCATCCCAAGTTCATAAACTGTCTCCATATGACCTTGTTCCTACTGTTCTCTATCACTATACCATAAATCCTCGCCCCAAGCAGTATTATTCCCGATGCCTCAATCCTGGCATCCAGACCATAGGTGGCTCCTGACCTCTGACCTCATGCCCCTGACCACATATGACCTTTATGCCCATACCTTCCCCCCTCTGACCATTGCCTCTTCTGCCCCAGCTGGTTCCCAGTAGAGCTCGGCACTGTGTTCTCAGGCTGGCGAGAAGCATGCAAGGCCCGAGGCTCTGAGACACTGGGCCCACGGCTGGTATGTGCCTCCCTCTTCCTTCGACTCCTGTGCCCTGCCATCCTGTCACCCAGCCTATTTGGCCTAGCCCCAGAGCACCCAGCACCTGGCCCAGCTCGCACCCTCACACTGATCGCCAAAGTCATCCAGAACCTCGCCAACCGTGCCCCGTAGGTATTGGGGGGCTAGAAGTGAGCATCTAGGTGTGGGGAGAGGAGACACTGGTGCCTGGTCTGATCTACTCAGTCTGGCCCCAATCAGATTTGGTGAGAAGGAAGCCTACATGGGCTTCATGAATAGCTTCCTGGAGGATCGAGGCCCGGCCATGCAACACTTTCTGGACCAGGTGGCCACGGTAGATGTGGATGCAGCACCCAGTGGGTACCAAGGCGGCAGCGACCTGGCCCACCAGCTGGCAGTTCTGCATTCCCAACTCTGCACCATCTTTGCTGAGCTGGACCAGGTATGGCCTGAGCCCCAAGTACAGGGCATGTGGAGAAGCAAGAAAGCAGGGAGCCTCTGGCCCAAGAAAGGCTGCTCAGCATTCTCCCTGAATGCCTCACCAGGCTACCCGGGACAGCTTGGAACCTCTGCCCACCATCCTTCGAGCCATCAAGGAGGGCCAGCCAGTACCCGTGTCAGTGCCAATGCGTCTCCCATCACCCCCAGTGCAGGTCCACACCAGGTAAGCTAGCCTGCTTCAAGGTTAGTCCAGGTTCTGATGGGTGGGAGCAGAACCAAAAGCAAGGTCAGGGCCAGATTGAGGTTAGTGATAAAGGCAGGAGCATAGTGGGGTCAGTGTTAGACACTGTGCTGGACAGAGTCAGGGAGAGGTCACATCTAGGGTAAGAGAGAGAAAGTAACGTCATCAGAGGTGAGGGCTGAAGACTGAAACTCAGGCAGAGGCCAAATCAGGGATCAGTTTCGGATCAGATGGGAAGATGTGATCACTAGCGGTCAGGACAGGATCATATTGTAAGCAGAAGTCAGGACCAGAGTCAGATGTTAGTTAGAAGATTGGACAGGATCATGTCAAGAAACATCCGGAGGATCAGATTTGGTGTCGGAGGTCAGGGTCTATGTTCTGCTGTTGTTGTTAACTGTCATTGAGTCGGTTCCGACTCATAGACACCCTGTAAAGGAGCTCTGGTAGCGTAGTGGTTACAAGTCGGGCTGCTAACCTCAAGGTCAGCAGTTCGAAACTACCAGCGGTTCCGCAGGAGAAAGATGAGGCTTTGTGCTCCCATAAAGATTTACAGCCTCGGAAACCCTGTACAGGGTTGCTATGAGTCAGAACCCACTCCACGGCACATAACAACAACAACAACATAGGGTTTCCGAGGAGCAGCTGGTGAGCGGGAACCACTCACTGACTTTGTGGTTCAAAACCAACCTTTCAGTCCAGCACATTCACCCACAGTGCCACACCAGGACTGCTGTGTTTCTATTAGGTGTCGGGAAGAGAATCAGTTTAAGGTCAGATGTTGGAGAGGGGTGGGAGTCGGGATGAAAAGGTACCCTTATGAGCAGAGGTCAGGCTAAGGGTAAGAATGGAATGAGATGTTTCAGAGTCAGGTCAGGAGTTCCATTGTGTCAGAGGTCAGGGTTGAAGTTAGAGAAGGTTAGATTGGGTCTCCTCAATGGCCATGCAGGAAATCATACTGTAGTCAGAAATTAAAGACCCCATCACCTCAGGGTCAGAGGGCAAAACAGGATCCCTCCATGAACATGGGTAATGTGCTTTCTAAATCCCTGGGTGGTTGAAATGCTCAACTACTACCCTCAAGGTTGGTAGTTCAAGCCCACCCAGCAGTACCAAGGAAGAAAGATCTGGGGATGTGCTGCTGTAAAGATGGTTGTTCAGTGCCCTGAGTTGATTCTGACTCAGCCACCCTGTACAGGGTTTCCAAGGAGCAGCTGGTGGGTCTGAATCGCCGACCTGGCAGGTGTCAGTCCAGTGCTTATCCTACAAATTACACCTAATAAAACCCCATGGTGGTTATGTGGAGTCGGTTCCAAGGCTGTAAATCTTTATGGGAGCAGAAAGCCTCATCTTTCTCCCTCAGAACAGCTGGTAGTTTCGAACTGCTGACCTTAAGGTTCACAGCCCAATTCATAACCACTACGCTACCAGAGTTCCTTATAAAACTCCATAGAGCAGTTCTAATCTGTAACACAAGTGGTTACTATGAGTCTGGATCGACTCCACAGCTGTGGGTTTGGGGTTTGTTGGAGGGTTATTTCTGGCCAGAGGTAGGAATGAGATCAGCTTAGGGGCCAGTTGAAGGTCTGAAGCTCCCACCCCCACCCCAAGCTTCTCCGTAGGGGAAAAACCCGGCTTCCTGGCCCCCCGGGACCTCTCCAAGCATACCCCCCTCATCTCCAAGAGCCAGTCCCTGCGCTGCGACCAAGGCTCTGGGGGTTGGGCTCGGCTACGGCCTGAAGAGGAGCGACACTCTCGACGGCCTCGGCCAGTGCAGCGCACACAGAGCGTCCCCGCTGGCCGTTCCGCCCGCCGTCACCCATCCAAAGGACCTCGACCACGGCCCAAAGGATCCCTGCGCACGGGTCCCGCGCCCCGTGGCAGACCCTGGACCGGAGTCTCTGCCTCTCTGCCTCGGAAACCATCAGTGCCATGGCAGCGCCACTTGGAACAACCGCGGGACGGGGACCAGGCACTGAGCACTCACCGACCTGTAGGCAAGGTGAGGTCTGGTCCAGGTCCGTGCACTGACGGGGAGGGAGAGTTGGGAAAAAGGCTGAAGATGAGGCAGGTTAAAATACCGAGCTCATTGTGCTGTGTGACCCTGGGCCCTCTCTAAGCATGTTTCTTCCTCTGTACTATGGGAGTGATGATCCTCAGAGTGACAGGGAGGTGGTGAGGTGGAAGAGAATCAGGGTCTTCAAGGAGAGGAAGATCAGATGAAAGCTGCTTCCTTTCCACAGCTGGCCGAGTTGCAGGGCGAGGTGGCCGCCGTGCGCCAGGAGCAGAAGGAGCTGTCCACCCTTGTAGAGGCGCTGGGTGCTCACGTGCGGGCCTTAGCGGAGCAGCAGGAGCATCTACGAGGTCAGCTGCAGGACCTGGACAGCAGGCTCTGTGCTGGGTAGGTGCAGCCCGTAGTCAGCCCAGCTTCCCGCAGAGGCCCCGCCCCTTTATTAGCCCCGCCCACAGGTGAACCTACTCCAATCAGATCTGGCCAGGCCCCTACCCCTAGGGCTCCGGGTCTTCATCCGGGCCCTGCCAAGATCACGCCAGGCAAAACCTCGCGCTCTGGATCAGTCACACTCGCTTGGTCACTCCGTCCAGAGTAACCCTGCTCCCCTAGAGCTACTAGTCATCTCATCTCATCTAGGCTCCACCTCCCAGGCAAGCCTTCCCAACTAGACTGGGTCAGTCCCTTCAGTCAGGGATCTCCTCCATCCCAGTGAGGCTCCCACCCCGGACTAACCAATGTTGGGTTACCTGGTTCCCGCCCCATCATCAGGTTTATTTAGGCCCCGCCCTCCAACCGGCACAAATCCGCCTCCACCACCACCACCACCCCGCCTCCCCACACACACCCCATGCGTCCACCGGCCTCCACCGAGGAGCTGGAGGGGAATGCCTCAGCCTCTGACATGCCCTCCTTGTCCCTGATCTTCACAGGACCTCGCAGTTGAAACCAGAGCACGATCTTCCAAGCAGTGAGGGCCACAGGTTAAAGAGTCTGGTGAGAATTCTGCCCGAGCCCTGGAGCAGATCCTCGAGGTGTGGGAACCTGGAGAGGGGTGCAATCCCCCTTGGGTCTGTACCCATGGTCGCTGCCTCCCCAGGAGCGTCGTGTGGCTGAGATGGAGAGTACCCAGGCCCAGCTGAGGAATGCCATCCAAAACCTGCAACTTATGCCCAGGACGCCGGGGCCCAGGAGCCAACCCTTGTCTCTCAAAGCACCCTGTACCAACGGAGACACCACCTGAGCTGCCCACTCTGATCCAAGTGGTCTGGGAGCAACGAGATGCTATGTGGCCTACTGAGGGAACCGGCAGCCGCCAACCAGTATGGCACTATGAAGTTGTCCAGTAAATTCTTGATTTAGTAAAATCTGTGGTTTCTTTGCCATCCAGAAAACAACCCTCCCTCTCCCCCAACCATTCAACTGCCCTAATTAGAGAAGTGTGACCTTAGCCATAATCTCAGAGCCTCAGTTTCCTCATCTGTAAAAAGAATCTAAAGTTATCTACACAGTGGAAGAATCACAAAGGTGTTGAATAAAAAGTATGCATCATTGTTATAGGTAGCATCTGCTTCCCAACAAAGCTCCTATCCCATCCCTAACACTCCCCAGCACCAAGGAGAGAATCTTCAGAGGTCCCAACTCCTGAGTCAGGAAGGAGTGTGAGTTTCTTCATGACAGAAGGGCACGTATCTGCCACAGGTGAATATGTCTGGGAGGTAAATGAAGGAAGGAGTGAGCAGGAGGTTGTGGAGATGGTTAAATTCTTCAGTGAATGATTGGGTAAATGATGGGTGCATTTGAATTCTGGTGAGTGAGAGGGTGAATGGGGAAAAGGTGGCGGAATAGCATTTGCTGGATATTTGACCTGGTGGGTGAATGATTGGGTAGGTCAATAGTATGGGCATGTCTTCCTAGAACAGACCTGAGTCCTAGGAAGAAATTAATTTTAATTGATTAAGTGCTTATATATACTATAGGGTCCTAGTGTAGCGTTGTGGGTTGACCTATACAGGGTCTCTGAGTCAGAACCAACTTAACGGCACTTAACACACACATATACTGTACATAGGATATCTGTTGAGTCTCCTAAGACTGAGCAGGATACTGGGGAAACACTGAACCAGACAGAACCCCTATCCTCACAGAACTTTCACTCTAATGGAAGAGACAAACAACCATATAATTGATGGTTGGGTGGTAGGATGGATGTGCGTGTGTGGTTGCTTGGTTGTATAAATAAACACACAAATGCTTAAGTGGGGAGATGAATGGACAGGAAGATAAGGTGGGTTGGGCAGGTATTTGGATGGGTTGAGATGTGGAGGGGAATAGTTAATGGGTTGATTGGATCACACATTGCTTGAGTAGTCTACGGATTGGTGGACGGGTGACTAGGTAGACAGGAGGTGGTTGGAGGATAAGTTGGATGGTCAATTCGCTGATAAAATGGAATTAGTTGATTGACCATGGGTGTGAATGAATAGGTGGGGAAATGGGCAGGCATTTGGATAGGTTGGTGTGGGGGGTGGGGGTGAGAGGGTAGATAGCTGTCTGGCTGAATGGTTCAGATGCTGGTTGAATGAGTAGATAGATGGGAGGTGGACTGAGTGGGTGTTTGGATGGATGAGTGATTAGCTGATTGGATGGAGTTGGCTGATCAATGATTTGTGTGGCTGAATGCATGGGGAGATGGATGGGCAGGTAAATGGGATAGATGGAGCAGGGTTTGGATGAGTGGATGTGAAAGGGTAGATAATTGACTAGTTGATTGGGTCAGATGCTGGTAGCATGGTGGACAGATGGATAAATAGGTAGATTGGAGGTGAATGGGTGGGTTAAGTAGGTATTCAGATGCATGGTTGGAGGGGTGCGTGAATGTGTAATTAAGTTGATAGATGGGATTGGTTAATTGATGGAGTGAGCGAATGCATGGGTGGAGAGATGGGGAATGGTTGGAGAAGGAGATGATTGGTGGATTAAGTGCAATGTGTACATGATGGGATAATGTTAGAGGCATAATCCTGGGAGCTGAATAAAGAAGAGGGTCTCAGTATAGAGGACATAGGGCATTGAGGTGCTGAAGTGCATGCAGTACCTCAATAATGGGTAAGGAGAAAGTTTGTGGTGGCCAGACTGTGGACAGGACTGGAGGCTAAGGATTGGCTGGGTGGAGTTGATAACCTATGGATGGCCATGGACGACTTCTCTAACATCTTCCCACTTTCTTGGTCCTATTAGCCGACCTAACTTTGAACCAAACAGTGGGGTGATGGGGAACCATTGGGGGCGACTGGACAAGGGCGTTGTCATGGTAATTGAGCCTCTCGCTGAACTCTGAGGCCGCGCGGGGCCCTTTAAGGGTGACCCGCCTGGCTACTCCCAATATGGCGGCGCGCCCGCTGGTCGCCGTCCCCCCCCCCTCCCCGGGGCGACGCAGGGGGGTGGTGGTGGAAGGGGGGACCTGGACCTCCCCATCATGGCGGCGTGGCGGGGCTGTCGCGCTGAGGTCACGGCGGCGCGCCGGGGGGGCGGGGCAGCGGGGGGAGCGATTTAAAGGGACAATGTCCCCCGAGCGGTGGAGGCGGTGGCGGCTGCGGAGGCCGCGGCACCGGCACCGGGAGCGACAGCGGCAGTAGCAGCAGCTACAGCCGCACCAAGCAGCGGAGCCCCGAAAGCCGGCGCCCGACCAGCGGCGCTGCATTCCTGGTGAGGCCCGGCCCGGCCTGGGGAGCCCGCGGGC